TACCACCAAAATGGCTGTAAGTTGATATTCCGGAATGTAGTAGGGTGAAATACAGAAGTTTTTAGATTTTGGTCCATATTTTCTAATAGACCCTATATAAAGAAGGTCGTGTGCACATTTTTGCTGCAATTTGACATTCCAGATTCCTGGTGAATATAAAACTGCTTCTAGACCATTGTTTTTTCAATAGGCCCCACACAATTTCCCCTCCTAGTTTCCCAATTTGATTGTCTGTAATTTTGTACTCACTTAAGACTGCATGCTATATTCGCAATACAATATGCCAAATAATTGGTGGAAGTGTACAAAACAAAAGAAGCGAAAAACCTTAAAGATTTATTATATTCTTTTAGTTGTTGTTTATATGTTTACAGTAAAAATTGTTTATATCAAAATATACGCACATACAACCAAACCAAAACTTCTTGTTGATAATCACACTGAGACGTGCGTGATTTGTTTTTTTTTTCTTTGTTATGAACAGCAAGTTGGAATAAAAATTTTGTTTGCGAATTGGAATATAGGGGGTATGGTATTAAAATATAATATTTCTAACAAAAATATCTTCTATCTCACGGTATGTCACATGACGATCTTACAATATAAGTTCACGAACGTCATCAAGTTTCTGTGGCCCAACATTGGGCGCCACTTTCCTTTATTTCTTTACAGTAAATAAAGGCAACTTAACATGTCAAGCCTGAGGTCCTCTTTTGTGTTTACCCCCTTTAGAGACTAAGGTACGCTATGCTGAATTTCTAATCAATCAGGCAATGTTTGGGTATTTGGTGTGAAAAGTTAGATGTTAATGTCACTTGGATCAATATGGATCATTTTTGGTTCTGCCCACAAGCCTTAAAATAGCAAATATTGAAGAGAAATATTTTATGTAGGCCTTCCCAAACGGCGGACTGATATACAGGGTGAGATAAAAAAACTGCAACAAAATCAAACACCATAATATGGAACAGGGACGTAAGCAGGGGGCGGCCCGGGGGCCCGGGTCCCACCCCCCCCCGATATGAATTTTTTCACAATAAATTTTTTTGTAACACATCGAAATATTCATTTCCGACCCTATAAAGTATTTATATTCTTGATCAGGGTAAAAGACGATCAAGCCATGTCCGTCCGTCTGTTGTAATCACGCTATCTTCTGAAGGATTTGAGATAGGGAGCTGAAATTTTGCATACGGTTGTCTTTTGTCTGCAGGTAGCTGAAGTTCGAAGATGGGATTATTGGTCCACGTTTAGGGATAGCTCCCATAAAAGGGTACCCCCAATTTTTGGTATTTTGGGGTTCTTGAGCACGTTTTTCAATCGAATTCGCTGAATTTTGCTACAATGGGTTCTTATTGGGTTCCAAATTTCTCCACAAAAAATTATATATATAGATCAACTTTTTCTGGTAGCCCCATATAACGGTACCCTCTAATTTGCAGAATTTGGGGGTTTTGATCATCATATATTATTCTCCACGAAAAATTATGAATATAGGTTCATTTTTCGGGGAGCCCCCATATAAGGTATTTTGGGGTTCTTGAGCGCGTTTTCAACCGAATTAATATACGCGCACTTTTTGGGGTAGTCCCCATAGAACCCCCTTTTTATTTTGTCATTCCGTTTGTAACTCATTGAAATATTCATTTCCGACTCTATAAAGTATATATATTTTTGATCGGGGTAAAATTCTAAGACGATCTAGCCATGTCCGTCACGCATAGGGTTGTCTCAAATGCATAGGGTTGTCTTTTGTCTGCAGGCGGGTCAAGTTCGAAGATGGGATATATTGGTCCACGTTTAGGCATAGCTCCCATATAAGGGTACCCCCCAATTTTCGGTAGTTTGGAGTTCTTGACCCTGTTTTTAAACCGAATTCGCTGAAATTTGGTATGTTGGGTTCTTATTGAATACTGAATGTCTCCACAAAAAATTATGAGTATAGGTCCACTTTTTCTAGTAGCTCCCATATAACGGCACCTCCTAATTTTCAATACTTTGGGGGTTTTGATCGTATTTTTACATCGAATTGGCTGTAATTTAGTATTTTGAGTTCTTAATAGGTACCAAAGTTCTCCACAAAAAATATGAATATAGGTCAATTTTTGTCGGGTACCCCCAATATTCGGTATTTTGGGGTTCTTGAGCGCGTTTTTCAACCGAATTCGCTGCAATTTGGTATTTTGTAGTCGTATATGGTAACAAATCTCCCTACCAAAAATTATTTATATTCGCCCCTTTTTGGGGTAGTCCGCGTTTTGTGTTTGGTTCTAAGAGTCTGTCGTAATTATTTAACCTGCGAAGGATATGGTTTACATAATTGCGTTGTAGAAATGTCGGTATAAGTCCAATTTTTGGTATTTTCCCTACATTTTCATTTCAAGTACCTGTCAGTATATCTATGGTGGAGGGTATCCAAAGTTCGGCCCGTCCGAACTTAACCCTTTTTCACTTGTTTATATTAGATTAGTTATCAGCATCATAGCAGTGTATATATTATGTATTTGAAATATGGAATTCTATGACTATTTAGCCATCTGTTTTAATCATTCTACCTTCGGGGGATATTGATGTAAAAAAAACTAGAACGGATAGGTTCGAGAATGATATATAATATATCGGCCCACAGTTACGCCTATCCCCCATATTGTGATACCTACCCATTTTCGGTATTGTTAATATTTAGCGTGAAGGAAGGTTTGGTTAGAAATAGAGTTATGTATATAAGTCCTTAATTTTGCATAGAACCTCAAATAATTACAACTCCAACTGTAAGGTATTTCCGACACGATGTAATAGCCTCCAGAAACCTACACAGAGAAATGTTTTTTTTCTGCAATTACAATATTCCCATATATATTATATATAATATATATTAAAACAATATATTAAACCAGCAGCTTCCACACCATCCCCAAATAAAATCATGTGTACGTCCGTGATGCCCTCATGTCGACAAAATCGGTCCAAATTTTGGGGATTTCCGATTTTAGGACAAATCTCCATTAAAAAGTGCTGAAATTTGTATTTACAAACTGCCAATGAAACCGTCACACGCTGCCCGAATGTTGCTTTGCGGCATTTTGGCTTGCGCTTGCCTAATGTGAACGACTTTGGAATTTTTTGGCAGCCCACACCATCACCATGGCCGGCGCTTGAGTTCTGGTGGCCAAAGTTAACACCTCTTTGGCAAGTTAACAAGATCATTTTCTTTGTTTACAAACTGCTGGACAACGAAGGTTTTCTCATCAGAGAAAACCAAATTCGGAAGTTCACCACTTTCGGCCAAAACGAAGCAACTATTTATCTCTTTTGAGTCTATTTATACCCTTCACCACACTGTGGTACAGGGTATTATGGCTTTGTGCATATGTTTGTAACAGGTAAAAGGAAAAGAGATAGACACATGGTTCCTTTTGAGAATATGCATAGAATCACTTTCTGAGTCGATTTATGCATGTCCGTCCGTCTGTCCGTCTGTATGTCAATGTTAAATTGTAAACAAAGTGCAGGTCGCATTTATAATCCGAATTGGATGAAATTTGGCACAGGTCACTTATTCGGCCCAAGGACGAACCATATATATTATATATATTTTCGTCCGATTTTAGGTAAATAGTGCACCAAAGTCTCTATATATCCTTCGATTTGCACGAAATTTGGCATATCGTACTGAATTAAGTCTAGAACGATGTGTGTAAAATTTCGTGAAAATCGGTTCAGATTTAGATGTAGCTCCCATATATATTTCGTCCGATTTTTGGTAAATAGCGCACCAAAGTCCCTATATATCCTTCGATTTGCACGAAATTTGGCATAGCGTACTGAATTAAGTCTAGGACGATATGTGTAAAATTTCGTGAAAATCGGATTAGATTTAGATATAGCTCTCTTATATATTTTCGTCCGATTTTAGGTAAATAGTGCACCAAAGTCCCTATATATCCTTCGATTTGAATGAAATTTGGCACAGCGTACTGAATTAAGTCTAGAACAATGCGTGTAAAATTTTGTGAAAATCTGTTCAGATTTAGATATAGCTCTCTTATATATTTTCGTCCGATTTTAGGTAAATAGTGCACCAAAGTCCATATATATCCTTCGATTTGAATGAAATTTAGCACAGCGTACTGAATTAAGTCTAGATCAATGTGTGTAAAATTTCGTGAAAATCTGTTCAGATTTAGATATAGCTCCCATATATATTTCCGTCCGATTTTAGGTAAATAGTGCACAAAAGTCCCTATATATCCTTCGATTTGCACGAAATTTGGAATAGCGTACTGAATTAAGTTAAGAACGATGTGTGTTAAATTTCGTGAAAATCGGTTCAGGTTTAGATATAGCTCCCATATATATCTTCGTCCGATTTTATATAAATGGTGCACCAAAGTCCCTATATATCCTTGGATTTGCACGAAATTTGTCATATCGTACTAAATTGTGTCGAGAATGATGTGTGGTAAGTTTTAGATCGGTTCAGATTTCTATGTAGATCCCACATATTCATATATATTCCTTCGATTTTAAATAAATCGCGCTCCAAATTGGGACTTGAATGACGTTATTGCGTTTTGTTGAAATTGGTGCAGATGCAGCCATAGCTTCCATATGTATTTCGAACGGGTGTCGGATTGAAATAAAATTTGTATCAGTACCGAATAACGTGTGCAAATTTTGCTATAAAACGTTTTTCATAAATTTGTCCCATGGTACGCAGACGACTCTAAATCTGCCCGAATGAAATTAAATTTATCATAGGGTGCAGAAAGACATGCGTATGTTCCTTCGAGGGAACATTGACATGCAAATGTAAGGATACATATGCGCATTATACCCAAAGTGGTGAAGGGTATCATATAGTCGGCCCAGTCCGACTTTACTACTTTCCTTACTGGTTTTCTTCTGTTGCGATGTAAGTTTTTGCACTTTTTGGAATTCCAATGGCTTTAGCCCGAGCTCATTTTTTCAACATTTGCCGAATGGGATATTGCGACGAGGGTTTCGATCAAGTCGATTCTTTACTTTTCGGACCATTTCTGCTGATGTTGCTGTTTTCTTTCGTCCACTTCCTTGACGTCAGGCTACACTACCAGTATCATGGTAACGAGCGATGGTACGAGACACAAAAGATTTATTCACATCTAAATGGTGGAGTGCTCTAACGATAGCCACTTGTGGTTTTCCAGCCAAATATAAAGAAATCAATGTATGACGTTTGAATTCCATAACGAATAACTTTTTTTCTTGTAAACATATAACGAGCTGTCACTGGAATAATTTTAACAGCTGTCGGACGAGTGGCTTATGCCATGTTCTGACGGGCATCCGAACAACGTAGTTCGCTCTCAGAATTACGTACATTAATTAACCCGTTCATACAACACTATTCATAATCCATATCATCAGAGTTTTTTATTTCAAACTTTTTGTTTCTTGTTTTACACCAAAAATGTAACATATTTTAGTGAATTACATAGGGATCTAAATAGAAAAAATAATTCTCTTTCTCCTGACTATAGTATGCACCCATATCTATTTACTTTTCATTCATGTTTTCCATTTTTTCTGAAAATGTTGTTGTTTTTAATACATTTTTATATTTTCTCAATTCAAATGTCACATACTGTCACAAATAAAAATTTGGAGAATTTTTTGTTTGAATTGCCCCACATTTGTTTCTTGTTTTGTACGCTAATTAGAACCAAGGGAAAAGAAATGCATATTGCATTATGTGGAAAACAAAATTTACATCCTGCTGCATATATAAAAACTATACAATTTTTTACTTTTCATTCATGATTTTCAATTTTACTGAAAAAGTTTGAAAATTTCATAAATATTTTCAAACTGTCAAAATTAATTTATTTTCGATAAATACTCTCAATTTTTAGGGATGGGACAAATTTATTGGTTATTCAGAGAGTGATTCGAATTGAACAACGTACAAAAGTCGGTGTTCGCTCAGACAATTTTGTATGGGGAACTAAGTAATTCCTTCATAATTAAGGGTCGAACAACGAATGAGAGAGCGAACAACGCTCGTCTGTACATGGCATTAGAAATGTCAGTAGTCTGAAGTTGGTTGCAGTTTTTTCATCTCACCCAGTAATCAATACTACAGTGTGGTGTAGGACAAAAAGTTCCTATGTAATAAAAATAAACCGAAACACTTCATTTTATACATATTGTACATGGAACGTGTGGAATTTGCGTCTTCTTCTATATTTAACCCAAAAACCTATATTTTTGTTCTCATGTGAATTATTAAATATTTTGTAGTCAAATATATGTGTTTATACACGTATTCCATCCTTATTCGATGAATAAGAATTTTTACAATTATATTAAAATTGTAATAATCTTCAGGACCTAAAAGTCACAAAAGATCTGTGATCTCTTAGGTAGGTCTTTCTGGAGAGTTACAAATATGGATTGTGTCAGAAATATACTACACTTACTGTAGATTTCAATACAAGAAGCACCACTCTATGACGATTTGCGATATATAATATTTTGAGTGTATACGCGTACACACATACACACTAGTGTGTATGAGTAAACAAAAGAAATGTAAAAAACGAAAACACAATACAATATTTAAAAAAAAGAAAAAAAAATTGAAAAATGTAGCATGCCGCCGTTATTCTATTTTTATAGATTTTCCACACATTTTTTCACAAATCAACTGCGAAGCCAAGCTGAATCGTCCAAATACAAATAAAAAACAAAAATGAAAATATTTCATATACAATTTTTTATTATTGGTCTGAAGAATTTTTTTTATATCAAACCAAAAACATTTTTTAATAAAATTGTAACATCCCTTCTAGAGTATTTGTGTGAAATACTCCATTGACGTAATTGAGAAGATTTGAAACATCCATAAATAGTAATAAATTAAATTACCTTGTATGTCGAGAATAGTGTGAGTGGTTTGAGTAAGAGAGAGGAAATACGTAAAACATAAATAAACAATCCATTTGGCAATGTTCAACCTAAAAGAATACATTTGGTAATTTTCACTTAAACATATATTTTACCAGCCTAACTATTTGGTCTTAGGTTAACCTCAATAAAAGATACGATACTCTGAGCATACTCTGAGGGTTCCCATTACATTATGGACCAGAGATCCCATTTTTGGTCATTATTAGAGCAGTGGGTTAATGAAAAATGTAACAAATTAATAGGGTGGATCGAAAACGGGACCGTTTTTATACCCTTCACCACACTGTGGTACAGGGTATTATGTCTGTGTGCATATGTTTGTAACAGGCAAAAACAATCGAGATAGACCCATGCTTCCTTTTAAGAATATGCATAGAATCACTTTCTGAGTCGATTTATGCATGTCTGTCTGTCCGTCCGTCCGTCCATGTATTTTTGTTAACAAAGTACAGGTCGCATTTATGATCCGATTTGGATGAAATTTGGCACAGGTCACTTAATTGGCCCAGGGACGAACCCTATTAAAATTGGGGAAAATCGGGTTAGGTTTAGATAAAGCTCCCATATATATATTCGTCCGATTTAAGGTAAATGGTGTACCAAAGTCCCTATATATCTTTCGATTTGCACGAAATTTGACACAGCGTAATGAATAGGGTCTAGAATGATGTGTGTTAAGTTTCCTGAAAATCTGTTCAGATTTAGATATAGCTCCCATATTATCTACGTCCGATTTAAGGTAAATGGTGTACCAAAGTCCCTATATATCTTTCGATTTGCACGAAATTTGGCACATCGAAATGGATTAGGTCTAGAATGATGTGTGTTAAGTTTCCTAAAAATCCGTTCAGATTTAGATATAGCTCCCATATATATTTTCGGTTCAGATTTTGATATAGCTTCTACATATATATTTTCAACCGATTTTACACGAAATTGATACAAATTTTGCACAACGAACTAAAGTTTTGAAATGTGGAAAGTTTTGAAATGTGGAAAGTTTTGAAATCGGTTCAGATTTAGATAGAGCTTCTATATATATATATATATATTATTTTCGCCCGATTATAGGTAATTTTGTCCCATTGTATAAAGCTACCCTATATCTGAACGAATGAAAAATTTAGTATTGGTTGCAGAATTCGACGTCTGTTAGCATTCATTTGTTGAATATACCAAAAGTGGTGAAGGGTATCATATAATCGGCCTCGCCCGACTTTACTACTTTCCTTACTGGTTTAAAGTTGAGTTAATCAAATTTTTTTTGACCACGTTTTGTAAAGCTCTGACCACTAATTACAAATGTGAAAGCAGATTTTGAAAATCGACTAAAATTAATTCAAAATTCAGTAAGAAAAGTAGTAAAGTCGGACGGGTCCGACTATATGATACCCTTCACCACTTTGGATATATTCAACAGATGGAATCCTAACAGACGTCGCATTTTTGAAGGGCCATTAACATGAAATTAAAGATGTCATTCTGCAACCTATACTAAATTTTGGTCAGATATAGAGTTGTTTCTTTCAATGAGACAAAATTATGGAAATAAATTTAAAGCAATATATCGAAATCTAAACCGATTTCATCGAAACTTGTCACATGTTAGGTCACAATTATTTCAGAATGTTTCGTGCATTCGGCCACATTTTGAGTTCTTCATTTACTTAAAAATCCAAATTTCGTGCAAGATATATAGGGACTTTGTTGCACCAGTTACATAAAATCGGACGGAAATATATATGGGAGCTATATCTAAATCTGAACCCATTTTCTCGAAATTTAACACACTTCTTTCTAGACTTATTTCGTGCAAATCGAAGGATACAAAGGGACTTTGTTGCACCATTTACATAAAATCGGACGAAAATATATATGGGAGCTATATCTAAATCTGAACCGATTTTCACGAAATTTAACACACTTCTTTCTAGACTTGATTCAGTATGATATGCCAAATTTACGCTGTGCCAAATGTTGTGCCAAATTTCGTGCAAATCGAAGGATATGTTGGGACTTTGGTGCACAATTTATTTATTTCAAATTGGGCGAAAATATATATATGAGGGCTATATCTAAATCTGAACCGATTTTCACGAAATTTAACACACATCGTTTTAGACTTAATTCAGAACGCTATGCCACATTTCGTGCAAATCGAAGGATATATAGGTACTTTGGTGCACCATTTACATAAAATCGGACGAAAATATATATGGGAGCTATATCTAAATCTGAACCGATTTTGCCCTTGGGCCAAATAAATGAGCTGTGCCAAATTTCATACAATTCGAATCAAAAATGCGACCTGTACTTTGTTTACAATTTGACATGGACAGACAGATGGACGGACGAACGGACGGACATGCCTAAATCGACTTAAAAAGTGATTCTATGCATATTCTCAAAAGTAACCATGTGTCTATCTCGTTTCCTTTTGCCTGTTACAAACATATTCACAAAGACATAATACCCTGTACCACAGTGTGGTGAAGGGTATAAACACGGATCAAAAAAATATATTAGGTAGGGGGAAAAGGAATCCATTATTTTTAAATGAACTATAGAACTTTATTTAAGATGCTTCGGAATATCCGATTTGGGCAAGTAAAAGATGATAAACGCTTATTGCCAAGCCCGGACTGTATGGCGGATGCATTAAAACTTCCCAACCAACCTCTCGAAGTTTCTGAGGAGTCACTCCTGATGGCCAATTTTGGCCGTTTCTGTGAAATTGTAAAAATTACGAATTTCCTAAAATACCTCAATCCAACAGTAATTTTAATTCCTTAAGTCTGGAGTCCAGCCTATCCGTTTGCACATAAGCAAGTTCCGGATTAAGCCTTAATCCTGGGTCAAGGACCCTTAATTTGGAATGAGTGGCCCTTAATCCGATTAAGCCTTAATCCTGGATCAAGGACACTTAATCCGGATTAAGTCATCAAGTGCCCCTTAATCCGGATTAAATTAATCAAAAGATATATAAGGACTTTGAGCTATATCTAAATATGAACCGAGTTCCCCAATTTCAATACGGTTCGTCCTTGGGCCAAACTTCTCCCAATTCGGAGAAAGTGATTCTATGCATATTTTCAAAACGGACCATGACTATTTAGTACAATTTAGTACTTTATGTTCCCAAAATTACGCATTTCCTAAACTACCTCAATCCAACAGTAATTTTAATTCCTTAAGTCTGGAGTCCAGCCTATCCGTT